TCTTTGGAAACCTTTTTTTCGCATTTGGTTAACATAAAAAAAAAATTGTTGAGAGCAATTAACATTTTTTTAATTTAAAAACATATTCCTAAAACTGAAATATGACATTTTAAAAACACTCTCTTGATGTTTCTCACAGTTGTTTTTATGATATTACAGCCCATTAAAACCGATAAAAACTTAACTTACTTTAACTTTTTAAAAAAGTCATGTTCTAGATTTAAGATTTTTTTTTTTGAATTAGGAAAAAATGTCCTATGCCAATCAAATGCAAAAACACGAGGATGTACTTACAATTGAGCAAGGGGTATGAAATATATATATATATATACATATATAATACTAAACTATATACTATTTAATAATAGTACATTTGTACACGTGTATTTATATAAAATACCAGTCGTATATCTGAATACACGAGCCAACTTTATAGTAGCAACAACTCTCGAGGAACGCTTTACGCTCTAATGCAATATCGGTAGTTCAGTCGAACGTGTCAGACATCACGACCCCAATCATCCCTAATCATAGTTTTCCAAACGCCCTGAATACCCCAAACTTTCTGAACCACGTTACATTTCCCCAAAGCGTATGAAAAGACATTAGTTGACTAAAGATACAACGTCACCAACTTGGATTGAAAATTAATTTGACTGTTACGATCGTGTCACCGAGAACCATCTTGTTTTTCACGCCAAAGTTGTTTTGTGCATAATATAAATGAATTGGTGTTTGATGGAAGTAAACACAATGAACAAAAAGCGTTGGGACGTGAGTGGTTTTTAGGAAATATTACATTTGAAAATAATGAAACCACATTCGTGAAAAACGCTTCGCTGGGAATTTTTTATTGCTGTAAATAAATCAATAATAGTAATAAAAGTTGTCAGAAATATTCCTTTTCTTAGGCAACAAAAATGCCAAACAAAAAACTAGGTACGTGTTCGTACAAATTCGGAGTAATGATTGATGAACACTGCAATATCTAAATTAAATAAATACTTACAATTAAAAATGTTGAAATTAACTTCAGCGATTGTATAGTGGATTACTGTGTTTAATATAATTTTATAAACCTAAGTCTAATAAATCTTAACCAGAATTCAATTTCCTTCTCATACAAAAAATAATATTTTTCTCGATTTTGCACAAAAAATTAAAGCTTAAGAAAACGCCGAAATATAAATCGCGGTACTTAGATTTATAGTGTTTAATACAAAAATGGAAAATTTCAAAACTAAAACCATCTCAAATTCTTATTCCAGCTAAAATCTAGATTCTAGATAAAAAAAAACCCAACGATAATAATAAACGATTAAAGATAAACCATTAAGTAAACCTAGTGTTAACCGTGTTTCTATAAATCGGTTAGGTTAGCTCCATAGATCACAAAGTGTGTTTAATCTTTACTTTAAATTGTTGTGTGTTGCCTTTGCAATAGACGCTAAACTTGTAAACATAAATGCGGCCAAATAAAACTCGGATTCTAAATACTTAGCATACGCTTACGCCGACATTCAAAAGTTGACAGAAGAAAATTTATCTGGCGATACGACAGACAGACAAAACGACAGTAGTTAAATAACAACTACAACGATAACCGTTTATCACTGTCGATCAAAATTGCACGCAGTTTGTCACATAGTAACAACCACAGTATGGTTTATGGTTGACAATATTAGTTATAGACTATTTAAAAGCTTAGTTAATCCTTGTTTATCCTGCCGTATTATTTATCCACTATTCAGAATATTCAGATTTTATTTAGAAATTACTAACAAAAAATATAATAGAATATTAGTGAAGTGAAGTTTCATTAACCTTAAAATCCGAAATTCAGAACAGAAATTTAAATATTTGCAGCAGTTGTTATTTTTTTGTTATCCTCGTTAAACTGTACATAGTGGTTAATAACGCAGCGTGTACAAAAATATCCAATAAAACTTTTTAAATATTCTAAATGCTAAAAAATAATTTCTATTTTAAAAACAAATAAAACAACCAATCAATCAATACCTTCATAGGAGTTGGTCCTATATTATATTATTTTAGTAATGCATAATAGTTTTTTGGACAACCGCCAATGCTAATATAATTATTAATATCAAATATTTCCTCACATCGTGTTGATAATTATATAAAAATAATTAAATTCATTCAATAACAAAAAACTTCTTAACATTTAAAACAATGAAACTCAAATAGAATATTTGCAAATGTATCATAATTTTTCAGCTTACCTATTTCAATATTCGATAAATTGGTTATTTAGACACTAAATTAGTAGGAACAGAAAAGAGGTAAAATAATTAATATTACTTAGATTACAATTATACCCTAAAGTTAATGATTGATAGTAGTTCCGTACTATTTTATTTTTAAAAGAATTATTATAAACACGTTCATAATAGCATATTTAATTTTAAAATTATGAGAAAAAACTTATTATTTTACTATTTGTGTTAAATGTAATAACTTTTTTTTTAGCTCAACAGAGTTACGAAGTCATCTAAATTTTTAGATTTTGAAATTAATGTATTTTTTTTATTCGTTTGAACTTATTTTCAGCAATCCACTATGAAGCCAAAAATAAGGACCGCGTTACACATTTAATCTCAGTTTGTATTTAAGTTTTGATGCAACTTTGGATAATCGTTTTTAATCATTTCGTCGTTATGCTGTTTGTTTGAAATCGTCCGAAATTACCAAACAAAGCAAAACGAGTAAATTCCTCTTAAGTACTATTAACTAAAACCTTTTTAACTTACATAGAATAAGTATTGTTAATCATAAATTAATAATTAATGAATCTTTAACGTTTTAATGCACGACAAAAAATAAAAAAACAAGACAGAAAACTGCTAAAATAATTAATTTGAACCTATCCACAGACAGTCCACGCGTGGCTGTATATTTGTCTTTTGGCAGATAACGAATACATGGTCTAACACACTATTTAAAGTATATAATTACACGTACATACATATCATTGTTTTTAACTAACAAAATTAATTTACACTACATAGAATAAATTATACTTGTACCATCAACTAATGACCAAGCGAGCCTGGTCTCCTGATACTTTATTTTAATTGAATTAAAAATACAACTATTTGTATTAGAACTAGGGTATTGTCATGTACAGCGCTTGTCTTTATTTATCATTAATTATTTAGAATACTCGTGTGTTGAATTTATTTCAAAAGTTTGTTGATGAATGATGAATTCTGAATAATTTTATGCGCGTAGAAACTTGTACGTGTTTATTTGGTTTTGTATATTCGGAGCGGCGTAAGCACCAATAAGTAGGTAAGTGCCATCGGGAATTAAGTATTTTAGAAGGTTAAGTCAAGTTTCTAAAACTAATGTGTAAACCGGGTAAGTGGCTTTTAATCGATTATGCGGATTATTTATTAGTACCGAGTAGGTATACGAAAATTCATCCATCACTGTCTCATTTCATAGTAAACATGTTAAAACTTTTTTTTCTTCTCCAAAATTCAACTGGATTTTTTCCCCGCGTTAGAGATACTGTCCTTGTATCGAGCCAAAATTATTTTATCAAGTTTTTATCGAAAAATATATAAAACAATTACAATAATTTCAAAACTTGCTACGCACGCCAGCAAATATATTTTTAACTGAAATTATACGCAATGTAAACGTGATTATTTTATATTTTGAACGTTAAAATAATATCTTTACATAAAATTGTACCCCCCCCGTCATCAGTCATCCACACTTTCAAATGAATATAACTTTTGAACGGATGAATAAAAATACAATTTTATTTCACCAATTCTTTTTTAAAAACTATTTTGAAAAAAAAAATTTTAAATGTAATAAAAAAATTTAAAAATAATTAAAAAAAGTAAAACAGGTAAGTGCAATAAAAAAACGTGATGCTGTAGCGCAAATAAATATAAATTATTTTAAAAAAAAATCTCAAAAATATTCACTAGAACAAAAGTTATTTCATTTGTCAAATCATTGTCGGCCACCCTGTATAGGGAATAAACAGTTTTCTTTATTTTTCCAAAAGTTGGGTGTTGAGGAATATTATCCTTTTTCCACTCAACTGTTCAATTGAAAATGAGGCGCGGACATCGTTTTATTCATTCTAGGATAATGGCCCATATTATTATTGTTGATGACTAATGATAGAAAAATGATTAAATCAACAATTTTATGTAAGATTAATATTTTATAATAGGTAAAATAATATTACTAGATGTAGCTTTACAAAAAAATGTTGCAATGTACCTAATTACTTAATAATAATCTTATTAAAATAAAAGAACGATAATGTCAATAAATAACTCCTAAATAATCATGAAAATCTCATTATTGCTCTTTACTTAACTTACATTTTTCATAAACATTTCTTGCCAAGTCAAAATTACAGATTACTTATTCAAAATTTTATATATAATTTAAAAAGTATTGTTACCATGTTTTTTTTTGTAATACAAAAATAATTTAATAACTTAAAGGATGTAAGTAAACACAATCATACTATTGGAGTATTAAATATTATATTTTGTTTAAATATTTGTCTTAACACAACACAAATCATCAATTGACCAAACTTCAAACAACTTTTGAAATTTTATTTTTAATAACAATTTAATGTTATAAATATTTACAGCTTGCAAAAATTACAATACTGTTTTATTTTATCTGTGAAATATATCCGTGAAGTATAACTTGTTTTATAATTATTATCATTACCGAAAAAAAGGGTTTTTAAAAATGGAATGTTTTTTTATAAAATTAAGTCGTCACAGTTTTTATTAAGCTCTATCAATTAAAAAAAAAAAAAAAACTTTAAACAGATATTAAAAATAAAAAACTAGGGCAACATTTTTTATGTGTAAATTGAAATATAAATTTGTTAAAATCTGTGAAATGTCCACATCTTCCACTTTTATTTGTATGTGTCATAACAAAAATTGTGTACCTGGAGATAGTGTAAACAAATTACAATTTGTTACAAATACACGTGTATAATTATGGCTTTATTAAAATAATAATTATAATTATCAGGGTTATTTATGGAAGTCTTAATTATAATGTTATAGAGTTAGATGCCATTAAATTTCAATGGCAAACATAAATTATAAAAAGCATCTTTTTTCCAAAACGATGCTTCTTTCCAAAATACGCCTTTGCCTTGAATGTTTTTTATATTGTCTGATCCTGTGTAATGAGGATCCAACACCAAAAATTTGACTTCCCCGCATTCCTCATTGATATCAACTCCGATGATTGTATGGGCAAGAACTCCACCACCTAATGTATAGCAGTCAAATTATTAGTAATAATAATTAGTAATATAAAACAAAAAAAATATATTTCACCATACCTATCATGACAGGAGTTCCGTGCCTATCGAAATGTTCTGCCAATTCAAGGCAAACAGAATTCAATGTGTCACCTTGCCTTAACGACATAATTCGACAAGTAGCACCCAAGTGAGAATCTAAGACATAAGATACCTCCAACGAGCCGATCCAATCTTTGGAACCAACAAACTGCTTTGGTTTATCTCCCATATCAACTAACGTTTGTTGAATATCCAGAATAGACGGTACCGGCTTGTTGGTCCATCCTTGCCATCTTTAAAATCAGATTAAAATAAATTATTGTGAAAATATTGAATGTTACCAACTATAAATACCTAAACCACGAATATAACGTTTGTAAAGATCTGTATGCACAACCCCATTGATGATCGTTAAAACCTCCATGACCGTAATGATAATAAGTATATTTACCCTGAACTATTGAAATTTGGCCATTGTTTACTGAAAAATATACATATTAATTATTAACTGTTAACAACACGAACACCACAGGTAAAAATGTATGATAATAATTTCATACAAAATTTTAATTTATTATCAAAAGTAAGAATTTGAACTGGGTCAGTGCGGTGCAGTGCCATAATCCTAAGATTTCTTGAAATCGAAACATAGAAAACTTGTGGACATCCAGCTTAAATGTCTTATATACTTTATTTTCAATGTGATTTTATGTGCAATATAATATCTCTTTGGGCCCGTTTCTCAATTAACTTGTATAGTACACATAGTAGCTTTTTCATATCTCGTGTATGAATTTGGATCAATGAGCCACACCTTTGGATTGTAAAGAACACATTTTCAAAAACCAGATGCATATCATATGAACAGTTGTGAAACATTATATTGGAGGTATGTATTTTAGTACGCCACTTATAAAAACGCTTGTAAATACACATAGATATAAAAAGAGCCTTACAAACCAAATTAAACTTTAATGGTTCTTATGTATAAACTCGTTAAGGAGAATTAAAACTTATTTAAACATGTACCCATCTGCATATTATGACCACTACTGGCATTACATTAATATTTAATACTATATCTTTATCAAAACTCATCTAGACCTTCATTTGTTTATATCCTCAAATTTTTTTTTTTAGTTTTTACCATTGATTTTATAGTATACGTATAAGCAGTGCTTCACACAAAAACAATTAACATTTTTTTATGGGATTCCCACTGGCAAGGAGAGTCTACCATGCCTACTTATGTAAACTATGATGAGGATACATCTGCTACAAGCAACTATCAGTGACCAATTATCTCCAAAGCACCGCTTATCTATATATTACAAAACCAATGTTATTACCTTTAATATTTTTTCAATTTATATTCATTTTGTATCCCCTCACAAATCATTATCCATTTTTTTGAATAATTCTTGTAGGTCTCGTTCCCTTTCTTTGCATAATGTGCTGATGTTGTCTAAACGTACAAGAGCTTTCAAGTAAAAAGACACTTAACACTATTCATACGCATAAATATTACATTTTTAAAAAAAAAACTTACTTCCAGAAGGATTAAGACCCTCGTGTACATTAGTCAATAACCCATCTTCATTAGCAACTGATGTAACATTAAATAAATAAGCGTTTGATATACGGAACAACGGCCTATTTAAAGATAGTTTGAATGCGTTGTGTAGTTTTTTTCTCAAATTACCTTTAAAATTATAAAATATTTTTACAGTATTAAAATGTTAAGTACTCAATTACAGTAACATTATCATGTATATATACTGTTCATACTATAAGAATCAATTTGATTATGTGAACAAACAATTGTTACAAAGTGACAAAGTTCTTCTGGCCCAAAATGATGGACAGCCGGCAAGTCTTTGGAATTGGTCACAAAAAAAGAAAATATTGCTTCTGCATTTTTTACAATACTTCCATACAACAAGTTGTACATTCTCTTAAAACTAGTACTTTTGCTGGCTACACATAGAGCATCTAGTTGACAACAGACCAGCTTTTCATCATAAGTTTCTAAAACATAAAAATAAAGATTACTGTCAAACAATAGCAATTTAATCATCAGATAGATACCATTTGATTGATGGATTATTGGAAAATCTGAAATATCTTTATTTTCTGTTGGCGTCATTGATAAATTTTGATAAACGCTAATATTAATAATTTCATAATCAGATTTATTTTCCGATTTAATATCGCCAATCATATTTTTCTCATCTGTATTACTTATAAATTTTTTAGCTTCTTTTAAGTAAAACAATGGTTTAACACCAATCTATAAAATAAAAATGATCACAACTTTATTCTTAAAGAATTAGTTACACACCATTGTGTATATCAACCTTTTTATCCACCAAATTCAAAATGTATGAAGAATCACAGTTTTCTATATTTTGATCTACTTCAAACTTCATACAAACTCTGAAGTATATTAATTGTTTACATAATTCTTTTTTTGATTGGACTTCATACTTTATTTTTTCAGGCTGAGTGTCACCGTTTTTTACTAACCTCCAGAGCTGAAGTTCCAGATCTTTGAAATCCAAGTAAAGTAACTTCCCTACATTCCTAAAATTTTCCTGAAAATTGTTGATGGGCCAATATTATTTTAAAACATAGTATTGAAGTATTGATATATTATATTAACGGATAAACTACAATTATATATATATATATATATATATATTTTTTTTTTTTTTTTTTTAATAAATCAACTTTTTGGACAGTAATTATCCAATACTTAATTTAACATACATCATTAGCAAAACTCTCTTGAACGTCTTCAATGTGCTCAGCTTTGCCAGAAGCTCCTTTTATAATAATGTTATATGGATAATTGTTTTCCACATCAATTGAAGAATCTACAAAGCCGATTACATATGATTTTGGCGCTATTCCTTCGTTGTCATCAACCGCTAGCAAATAAAACTCATTCAGTTTTTGGGTTACATTTTTTTTCAAGTTCTAGACCAGACAATAAATAAATATTATTAACCACTGTAATTCAATTAATATGATGTAAACAGTATCAAACAGCAATCTATACAAGTGTTTTCCACATTACCTCCAGTACTTCTCGACAAATTATGACTTCAGGGTCGTTATCTTTCATTGTTTTTTTTTTTACGAACTTATTAAAGACTTCACAAAATGAACAGAATCGTAAAATATTTAACAATTAATAATCAGCATTTAGCATGAAACTTCACGCACACCTCACACGTCATCTTGGTGAAAACTGTAACTATGTATTGTAAAATGCCGTTTTATCATATCATCGTATCGACTATCAGTGTTAAAACCTGTTATCAGCATTTCATTTCTGAACATTAATTATAATCATTACAAACCATAAAATAACCACTGACTATGGCTTGGGTCTAAAAGGGTCAATCTCACTTTTTGTAACTTTTGGCAAACAGACTTTAATTTTTTTTTATTTTCATTATACTCTATGTTAACTTTTTTTCCAAACTCTTCGTAAGTTATTTAATTGTTGCCCTCAGTGTCATTTTTCACAGTATTTAGAGGATGTTTTAATTTTTAGTGGACTTAGTGGACCACTTATTTATGCCAAAAAGTGAAATTGGCCCTTTTTGACCCAATATTATTACTCTATGCCACAGATGGACAAAACAAATAAATACATAACAAGGTGGATTAATAATTTATAAATCCACCTTGGTACATCAGCAACTTGTGATAGCGTCTAAATGGCTTCCGGTTTGTTTTGGACTGCCGTAATTATTTCATTTGTACAAGAAAAATCCGTATACAGTATACCATATTGTAAAATGTAATTTTATAAACATATATGGCATACCGCATAGCTAATTATTTTGTCGTGAGAGTACTATTTAAAATTAGAGTTGTTACTTATTAATAAACATACTTTCGTTTGTTCGTCCTTTTCGTGGCTTAGGTATGCTTAACACGTTGGCTACCGAGCAATTTTTCATAGCGCTTATTGGTGTACCATGAGGGTACTCGGATTATCTCAGGATGTGTATAACGCCATCTATTTTTATAAAATTGTACCAAATACCATTAAAGCGTATCGAACAAGGTGGATTAGAGATAAATCCACCTTGGTATTGAATACACGTTATCTACCTGTGATAGCTCATGACTGTGGGAGTGGGAGTGCAGTTAAATATGAATTCCTCCAAATGTCAATAAATATTAAGAATACCTACATATTTTAACAGAAATAACTTGATGTACGTTATAAATTTACAATCTGGTTAGTCTAAAATTTAGAATTCAAAAATAAAAATTTAAACGAAAATAATATATTGTCCTATTTTTCACAAACGTATAACGACTGATAAAAGTAACTAGAGAAGAACTTAAAAATATAAATGACTCAAAAAATTCATTGACAACGAATTGACACAAACATAGAATTGGTAAATCTCAACTTGCTTTTATTAACAATATTATGCAGTTCTACTGAGCACAGAAAACAAATTGTAAATAGCTATTAGGTTGACAATAACACAATTTAGAATAACTTATTCGAGTAATTTTTTAATGTATACTAGTCGTATGAATGATCCGAATTGTGAATAGAACAATTATTTCGACTGTGGACAAATTGTTTTCACCAAGTGGGATTAGAACTACAAGAAAAAAGTGTTATATGGTCGACGCACGCGTTACCGACTCAGTGACTGCTACAATGGTCGGCAACTTAGATTTTTTCGTCCGTACTTTCAAAATTAATCTTTCTTATGCATTGCGATAAATGTACATTTGCATGTCAACTTAGTCAATATTGCAAAAATACATACCAGTTGTCACTAGAATTTTCGTATTTAAAAAAACTAAGTGTATAGTATAGCAAATGGGATACTTATATAATAGAATATAGGTATAATAGTAAATAATATTATAGTATAATACAATAATATAATATAATATATTATAAAATACGGCCGACGATTTTGGAAATTATTCTGTGCCGTGCAGGGTTTTAGTTATACCCATGTTTGATGTTTTGAAATAAACACACCAAGCCAAAGTATATGAATGTGCAGGCTAGAGAAATATAACACACAATTCACATATTGACAATAAAAATTTAAAAAAACATAATTTCTACAAAATAGTTATGAAAAAATCATAAGCAACAATTGTTGTTTTATTTACTGCTGACAAGGGTAACAATAGTCGTTTAATATCAAAAAAGTTAATATTTTTTATCCAATCTTTAACAAAATTTACTTTATTTTTTATTTTAATATTTGATTATTTTGTTCTCATCTTTAAGACGCAAAGATTAAATATTTTAAATAGAATAGTGTAAACACAAATATTAAATGACTATAAGTAAGAATTTAGTAACTATTCAAAAAACTAAAAATGTATACAAATTACAAATGTTTAAGACTGATTTAAACGTTTGTTTAAATATTATAACTATTCAACACGATTACATAAGTAATAAAGTAATACAATAGTTAAAAAAAAAACAATTATCTATTTAAAATGTAATTAGATAAGTCTTTTCATTGATAAATGTGTTATTACACAGCCTTATAACTTATTACATATTATTTTATAACCTATTATTAATTTGATAAATGTTTTTGTATACATAAAAGATTTTGCATTATAAAACAAGACATATGTATAATTATTTAAATGTACTAGGTACCTTAAGAAGTAAAAAATGTAAAATAAATACTGATGCAGTTCAAGAGGGCTCTAAATACTTTAATATAATAGTATAAAATGTGTGATCATTGTTATGTCTTTCAGAGCAAGTCAAGACATTTAATGACTATTAAATTTAACTGAGAACTCATAAAAAAATATAATAATTTTGTAGCCAAGTTATAAGAAAATATCAAAATTAAAGCTAAGGAAATTAAAGTTTTTGAGAAATTTAGATTGTATCTGAGACTTATCTCAGATGTCATACATCCTCTCAAAAAAAAAATTGTTCTAATAGTTAATATGATTATACTGTACAATTTGTCGACTTACAAATTCAATTAATTTGTATACATATATACTACGCTATTATAAATTAAAATAAAACATTTTTAACATTATATTATTATCACAGACAATAAAACTACTGCTAATTAAAGTATTGAACACAACCACAAACCAAACTTAAGGACGGTGAAAACCTGCTGCTACGTTTACATATCACAGTGGCTGCAGGTATTTCACTTCGTCTCAACTGGTCGATGAGTGAGTCGGATGTTGTTGGTACATTTGTATTTGTGTTGGAGCTGGATATTGCACCAACATTATCTGAGACATTGGTGTGGGTTGCACTTGTTGGCTGACCTGCTGTTGTTGTTGTTGCTGTTGCTGCTGCTGTTGTTGTTGTTGTTGTTGTTGTTGCTGCTGCTGCTGTTGTTGCTGTTGTTGTTGTTGTTGTTGTTGTTGTTGTTGTTGTTGTTGTTGTTGTTGTTGTTGTTGTTGTTGTTGTGTGCTGCTGCTGCTGCTGCTGCTGCTGCATGTGCTGGTGTTGTTCACCTTGTGTGTCGGAAACGATCATGCCTTCGCAATCTTCATCGAGGTGACCGGCTTCATATTTGATTCTCTTGAACCGACCATATAGTGACGAATATGGGAGGTTGTAATGTATTGCCGCCTGATTGATGCTCATCTGACCCAAACGCACAGATTCTAAAGCTTCCATCATTGCGTCCTCGGACCAAGGCGTAGGATTGCTGCGGGACAGCTCAATTTTTTCCCGTTTACAACGACCATATAGTGTACCAGAAGGTATTCCGTAGTCGGCTGCTGCTTTTTGCACTGTGGTTTGTCCTGTACGAATGGCGTGTAAAGCCTGTTCCAATTGTTCTTGACCCCAAGACGTGGGCGCTGCGTTAAATGGTGCTGCCAATCGAATACCTTCACGCCTCGCTATCTTATACAATGTACTACTAGGAATGCCATAAGCTTTACTAGCCTTATTGGCTGATATGGAACCAGTACGTAGGGCTTCTAAAGCGACATTTAAAGCATCGTCGTTCCATGATTTGGCTGGACCATCTTTTTTAGGTGTGTCTATACCAGCACGATGAGCCCTTTGCCACAGCGTCGTTGATGGAATACCATACGTTATTGAAGCTTTAGTAAGAGACATGTTATGTGTACGTAATGCTTCCAAAGCGTTCTCCATGTCTTCTGTAGTCCAACCTTTTCCACTGTTGGTACCATACTGTTTGTTCGTTGTACTATTTGAGTTATCGTCGCTTACATCTAGAGTAAAAATATAACTAAATATAACTTTTTTTGAGGAAAAAGTGAGCAAATTATGTGTTACCTCCAGTGTTAGAAGAATTTGGTAGTAGACTTAATAATTCAGGTGTTATCATCATTGTATGCATTGAACTATCGTCATCATGCATATTCTGTAAAATACAATTCATTAATATATTTACTGCATTGTGTATCTTGAAATTTCTATACCGTAATGCGATCTCTAGTTTGCTGGTGGTCTATTCCGATGGCATCTGAAGATTGATCAATTGTACTTAGTGTTTCAAACTTGACACTCTCATACTTCATTTCACTCCCATCATTTGCCATATCATTAGAACTTGATGTACCAACTAAATAGTGTAAATATAATACATATTTAAAATAATACATTAAAAACTAAAGTACTTTTTTTAAAACAAAAAAACCAAATCTTTTTATTTTTTTAATTAAAAACTAACCTGCCATGTCACGATGGGTCGGGGTTACAGATTGACTGGAATTTGGTTTGATAGGCACTGGCGTTGCTCTTGGACCTACAGGTTGACCTTCTGTAGGAATATCGGCTTCAGATACACTCATAACTGGACTTGATGTCATTATCATCTGAGCAAATAAAAAATCATGGTAATAAAATATTATGCCTTAAACATTGATTAATCATTTGTTATATATAATAACAATTTAAAAATTTAACAAAAAAATAAAATATATTTGAAAAAAACAATCGCTTAGAAGTTAAACTGTATATATGCCTAAACTCATACAATTTATTAATTATACACAATAAACGAAAACAATAGGTCTATAATGTTATATGTTAAATAATAATAAATGCATTACTTGTGTATTTGTTTGGACAGCAGCTTGCTGCAGTTGAGATTGCGATATATGGCTTAGTTGAGGTTGAGTAGACATGTTCATATGAACTATTTGTGTTTGTTGTTGAGCTTGTACGTTTAATGTAGCTTGCGGATCCAAAATAACGACCGGTAAATCCGTGATAGTTGGTTTCATTTCTTTGTCATCATCTTCAGTCGATGTAGCTACAGTCATACAGTGAGAGGACTGAAAAACCACAAACAGTATTAACTAATATCAAATATGTGGAATGTTGCAAATCAATGATATTATTACATCAATTGTTTTGTGTCCTTGGTCAATACAAACGGGAGTAAAACCCGATTGTTCAATTCTATAGTAACTCCTGTTATACTGCTCGTGTTGAAAACAACCACCGTTGGGGCTTAATTTTTTTATATATGGTGAATTTCTACGTTGCAACTTAGTGAATACTCGTCCTCCAGTCTTCAGTGGTCCTAGAGGAGTTACTTCGGCAGTAATAGAAGTATCCCGTTCATCTTCAGGAACTTCACACAGGCCTTTAATCTTTAATTGATCAGCCGTCTTCAACAGAGACTTAAAAAAAAAAAACATATACTAATTTAACATTCTGTATTAACATGACTCATATTGCAAAAGTATTAAATATTTTAACCACTAATTTATCTACATTGTTTGTATTAATATAAGCATAAATATATACTACTACAAAATAAACCTTACTTGTAGTTCTGATTGTGAAACATCAATTTCACCTCTATACACAAATTCAATGATAAATTTGAGGTCACTAAAGCTTATATCATAAGGTAATATAATGGTTGGGTGTTTACAAGGGTTGTCCATCAATAGTTTTTGAAAATATGAAGAACAAGCTGACAAGACTACCTGAACAAATATTAACTTTATTAACAAAACATAATTTTTAAAAAAAAATAATAATAAAACAATAACTTTACTTTGTGCGCTCTAAGAGTACTTTCATTGCAAGCTAAAGTCACATCAACAAACGATTCATTGCGAAGAAGTTGATGAAATACAGATGTCATGTTTGATTGATAATTGTTCCACCGCAGGCAATAATGCTGGCCATTAGCCGACATCTTAACCCTAAAATAAGACAATGAAAAAATTTTTAAAAACAATTAATAATTATAATTTCATTGAATATATTCTTTATTGGTAACATTTTTTATTGCCACCACAATAATGATAATGCAGAATTATTATGTTGTGCATACATTCATTGCCATACTCGCAAATATTAAAAAAAATCATAGGAATTTAGAACTCATAAAGAAAAATAATAGTTTTAAGTTTGAGATGCAAATCTCATGATGTACACAGTTAACATTGAATTAATGATAATTTTGAGGATACCTACTTACTAATAACACATAAACTACTAACATACTACCTATTAACCTATGTCATGTGCAAGTCAAAATTATTAAGAGCCTCACCTCTTATATCGTTATATCCCCTATTTATTAAGAAGTTAGGAATAGACAATTTGTTGCAAAAACTTAATTTAAAGGTTAAACTATGATGTGTTATGATTGTGAATTATTAGTTATTAGTTCGGTACTTAATCAGGACAATTTTTTTTAGGAATTAATTCATTTTACTCTCACGGTATTCATGACATCGATTTAAAAACCTTTTTTATCTAAATATAGCTACGCAGAATGCGTTTTACTCGGTTCATAGCGGTTTTAGATCAAAAATACCTACTATAAAATCGAAAGATTAAACATTTCTGAGACAATATAATATACGATTTTAAAAATGACGACGAAAAATAAAAGTTGTAGGTACTTATTTTAAAAAATGTGATTTTAAGTGTTAAATATCAAGCTAAATGTTAGATTTATCGAAAAAAGTGTATATTGTCTCCAAAATCCTGTCATCTTTCGTTTTCGTTATAAGTATTTTTGTTCTAAAATCATAAAAATTAATCCTCGGTAAAGGTATATATATCATATATTATATCATCGTACCTATACATCATAATAAAAAGCCATCGCCGTAATTGTAATGTTATAGATAAATGGTTAGTGATTTGCTCATATTTTTATTCCTATAGAATGCCCAAATTCATCCACCCAATTTATACAATATAATATATTATTTTATAGTCTATAATCCTGTATGCAATGTTTTATGTATACAATTGCAGTTATCGTCGGCTGAATTAAATGAGTGGCTCAAACAACGTATATATCATATTATAATTTAAAGGGAGTCGGCGGGACGAATTAGTTTAAAAAAAATCAATAGTCAAATTACCACCCCCAGGCCCCGATATTCCACCCCAATTGGACCAACGAGAACAGATTTTGGTGAATCCAAACCCTCGAGGAACAAACCACAGGCACACGCCAAAAAAAACCTATCGCAGCATTTTGATAACAGTAAATTATTTTTTAAGAAAGTACAAGTTGGTACGTTACAGAATGGTCAGAAAAATAATTTTTATACAATGGTTAGGCCTCCTTAAATTTTTTTTTTAATCGGAAATACCCATTTAGTGAAACAGTTCAGGGAACACCATGATATATAGGATATTTAAGCGTTTACTGCTACTAGCACAAATCATTTACCTGTACCTATTATCCCATCTACCACGCACGTTCGAAAAAATTATCAAGCCATTTAAATACTAACGCATTAACTAGCACACAGCCTTTAAAATGTATTTTTTTTTTTAAATTTATATACAAAATAAACAGAAGAAAAAAACACCGCAACAATATTTAATAACTACAATAATTTGTTTTCGACCATTTTAATTATAGATTTATATACTACAATATACATATAACAATATAACATCTATGACTTATTTTAAAACCAAGTATAAACTTATGATATAAATATATATTTTAAATAAAATGGTTTACGCCGCAATGAACATATTTAGGAAACATTGCAAATAGTCGATGTGTTAAACGACAAACTAACATTTTAGCTTGTCTATGCATACTGCTTAACCCTTGAGAAGTAGCATGTGCGTCAATAGTTTCCTAAAAGAAACCTACCAAGGCAGTCGAGTAAATTTATATATTTTTTTATTTTTGTGCCAGTAAGTAAACCTGCAAGTCAGGCTAGACTGAAAGCCGAATAAATCGTTAATAAAACCCATCAGAGAAAAGGTCGTTGAACTGTTTTTGTACCCAAAAAACAAATAAATTCGGATAAATTCAAAGATCAAATACCGAATAAGTTTGTTTTGATATACATGATATTATCCAGCTGCTAGCTCCACTATAATTCGAACATAAATGTATAAATGTAGTGAACAGAAAAAATATTACACATTTTCGAAAATCGTGAACAATGTATTTTAAAATATCATATACCTAATACTACTGCAGCTATATCAAAACATGAGATAATGGCCGAAATAATGACACATATTATACAAGTCTTACACGTAGAACGTAGCCCCTAGGTAACGCTCAGTCCATCTATAGCATTGTATTAAGCTTTTTTTTCGAGACCACTTCTAAATTCATAGTAAAAAATCTTAAAATATTCATATTTGAGTACAACTGCTAAAATTAATTATTTTTTGAAGCCTAGTAAAGGCGAAATGGGGCAAGTGTTCTAGGGCGATATAAATTAAAGAGGTGCCAATTTTATAATAATGACGGAGGAGGTAGTAAATGTAAATGTGGAGAAGCGTTGAAAATGGGTGCCCTATAAGGTACTTATAGTAGACAGCCTAACACACAATGAAAATGGCAAAAATACTGCGTTTCTGTTCTTTAGAAGCGATTTACAAATTAAATTACACGTACAACACGAAATCTAGGATCAGATTTATATCCAACAAAATCCATACATTTGTATTACAAAAACTTAGCTGTACAGTGTACAGTGTAGGTAGCTTAAATTCTAATCAGTAATAAATGGAAATAGAAAAAAAAAGACTCGGTGTTAATGTGCGATGGCAACGCCCGAAAGCCGGCCGGCGTTATCGATCCAATTGGTCCAGTCATCCTCCGGCCACCACCCACTCAGTAGACAGTAGTTACCCAAAACCGAGAACACCACAATACTCGACAGCCAACAATAGCCAGTGGTGCCACAAAAGGAAAAAATATGTACCGACAAATATTATTAGCTGAATATTATTATCGTTTCAACAACTGCGGTATGTTTTATTCTATATACGATATCCTACGAAGGGTGGCCGGTCGACGAATATATATACATTTTTTTTTTTAAGTGACGGACAAAACCGCGTCGTTTAAAATAGAAAAAATATATAAAGTATGAACAATAATATCTTCTATTACATGAAATATAATATGTATATAAGCGCGTGGAATACGATTAAACCCAAAACGGATGAAAATAGAGCAAAGCAAAACGGCCGGAGCCCAAAGGCAGAAAATAGGGAGAAATAGCGAAAAAGCGATTTGATGATGATGCGTCATATAAAACGTGAATGTATGTGTATTGAGACCAGAATTAACCGAGTGGAGAAGAAGAAATAGAAATAGAAGAAGACGCCACAGTCGTCTGTATCAGTAAAAAGAGAGGGTGTGGAAGACGAAGAGGCGAGAACCGGCGGCGCGGAGGCAAGAGAATTTTTTTTTTGTGTGTGCGCGAGGGAAAAACATAATTATAGATGGGAAGAATGACAGGAGGGACGTGGTAAGAAAAAAGTAAAAATATAAAATAATAATAATATTAACAACGAAAACGCAAGCGGTGGGTTTTTTTTTCTGAGGGGGAGGGGTGAAGATAGGAACGAGTACAGAAGACTATAAAACGGGAAAAGTACATAAACGGCGGCGGATGGGAAAAAAGCAGAGAAACGAACATTATCGGCTGCGGCGGACGCGCATATAATATACTTACACGCAGTTTCCAAACAAGAAGGAACGGACAATTTGAACGGCCGACACAAAGCGGGAACTGATGATAAGCCTGCATTTCGTTGTCGACTTCGTTCGTTCCGTTGCGCGCCCGCGTTCGCGTCGCCGCCGTGAATACACACACGAGCAACCCCTCTTCCCCGCGGGTCCGACACACCGTTCGCCGTCCACGAAGAGTGCGGACAGAGAATCCCCCGACCCCCAGCCAGTCCCCGCTACCAGGCCCACCACGGCTATCGCCCATTAGCTATTTTGCCTGTGCGGCACGGCCAAAGCCAATAGAGCCAACGCGCGCATCCTCGCTGTTTTCTTGTCTCGGTCTGTGTACGCTGACAAAACGCTGTTCGGCTCCTCTCTGCTGCGGCGGTACAGCGGCCACCTGAGAAGGGACTGCGTGTGGGCCGCGTCGACTGGAAAATCAATGACCGCGGGTCAACGGCAGACGACATTATCGCCGTCCTCTTTTTTGAAACGTCGCGAGCATACACACTCGACAATTTCGGGCAAACGACGATTCCATAACATTTTATCCGTATTTCAGCGATTCTCATGCTAGGAAATAACATGCCGTCGATTTTATCATAGCATATTGTTAAAACTCGGCTGTTCGATTCTGAATCACAGTAAATGTTTTCTAAAAATAATAATGACCTTATTTGTATTTTTTTTTTGCAATCTATACAAAAAAATGTACAATAAGTAAATCAATTGTTGGTAATACAAATTAACAGTGAGTGGCATGATAGGAAATCTCACAATAGAAACACCCGGAATAACATGATTTAATGAATATACAATAAATTAATATCTTAGGACTCGGCATCATTGAAGTAAATGATATTCTAAACATTTTTCTAAATTATATCAGACCTGTCAACGTAAAAAACACATGTACTTGATTGACGATATTCCTAACACAACGATAGGATTTCAAGGAGAGTATGAAAAACGGATTCCCAGTTCTTACTGGAATTTTTTTAAATGGCATCAAAATTAAGACTGATGGTGACTGTTCACTGAGTTTCGCTCGCTACAATATCAAACCATGTAAACTGATATAGTCCGCGCTTTGGTTTATATTTAAAAATACTGAAAATAATAATAATAGTGTCAGGCCCTAGACACTGATAAAAACTAACACGGGGAAGATACTTCACACAAAAACGCGGCGGCCATCTTCACAGAGGTTACACCACTATATTATATCCATACATTATTATTATTTGTTGTGTATATTCATACAATATATATAAATATATAAGTATAATACTAAATATACTACAAAATGGTCGTTACTTTATTTACATTGAAAGTGGGGTTTTTGCTTTCATCTATTCTGTGGTGTGATTATGTAGATATTATCTTGTAATATTTAATGTTTATTGGCGTGACCAGTGACTAAATTAAATAATATTTTATTAAAACAATAAGGCACCATTCTTCTTTTTGAAGGTACATTTTTTAAATGATCAACTTCGTTATCAAAATTAATTTAATACTACATATTAATTCATGTTCAATAAATAAAAACCACAACGCATTGATTATTTCTTGAGCCATGGTATCTTTTCCTTAACTTTGTTTTTACAACACTGATTTTGAAGAAGATTCTTTCGCATGCTATAAATAGTTTAATAATTCCATTTTTTGTACCTCGGTGGTCCCTTTATAATATTGTACTGTAACATAACCTATCCGCTCCTGTATATAGTAAGGCCTTTGGCCTTTTTTTGCCAAGTTTTTTTATATTTGGTTTTTTCTAAAAAATATCAGAAAAAGCGAATGGTGTTTTCCGTAAGCTGCAACATTACATCTCTTCTACATTAATCAACTTTTTTATATAACCTCTTAATAGTTTCTATCATGTTTTAATAATTTTGGGTGGTAGGATCCTCCCTCAATTTACGATGAGCTGTGCGTAGTTCTCTATATTTTCTTATTTTTTATATAAAATTAATACACTATTGATTTATATGCTCGTTGCCACTACCAACTGTCTACGAACAAGATTAATGTCCATTTAATTCGATAAAACTATTGTGTTTTATCATTTTTTTTTAAGAATTTGTACAATTACTTGACAATTAATGGAAAATAAGCGCGTGTGGTTAGATTACAACGTTTGCTATAAATTAACTGGATGAAGTTAATTATATATATATTAATAATAATTGTCATATTATGTTTCTTGGTAAAACTATACATTAATCCAACCGCGAGCCGTTAAGGCTTGTACCAATCGTTTGCGCCAACTGTATTTAAATTTACAAAATATAGTGTAAACTAATTACTAAATAGCATATTTTTATTGTTTACGGCAGGCATCATTTATAAATTTGTGTCAATATTCTGAAGAAACATTTTAAATGATGTACATTTACTTATGATTACAACGTTTACATTTATTTTGTTTATTTAAACTGATTTAGAAGTTTAGGACATAATGTTTTACATAAATCTAAATAATGGATTTTACAAGCCTAACTGCAAAAAAAACATTCTTCTTGTTGGATAAAGGTTATGGACTACTTCATAACCTAGCAAAATACTTATTAACCTATGTATGTTAATCGTGAAATATCTTCAAAAGTAATTTATTATTATTAATTATAACCCCTTACGATAATTACTAATAGGTAAATCCTGTTATAACTTGTTGATTTTTTAAAACATTTGTTTAGAGAGCAAGGAATAGATAAATATTTTCAATATTAGCATTCGGTTTCAGTTTATTGCCAACGATATTTTTATGATATGACATTTGAATCAATAATAATAGTAAATCGCTGCTTATACAAAGTACTATTACTAAGTACTAATTACGATGCTCGGTCAGTAGATAGAGCCACGAATTATGATTCGTTGACTTATACAGAAGTGCCAGAATACTTGATTTTACACAAAACAAACGGAAATCATAAACGTATTTTTAAAAAAGGATCTTTGTAGATCGTCCACCTTTTAAAACCCTCATCTAGATCTACATCTGTATATCCAGAATATTTAAAAAATTGTATTCATCAATAATATCGAATATTGTGAATTATATTTGTACAATAAAATACATAGGTATACAGTCGGTTAGTTGTATAGGTTTTACGTAGGAGTCGCCAAAAATTACAACGGTACAACCTCCACATAATATGGTTAATCGATGGTTCCTATCTACACTTATTCAACGTCCTGACTGGACTAATATCTGAAATGGACACTCAAAAGAAGAGCACTTTTAAACGATAAAATTAATAGATAGTACGAATTAAAAAAAAACCTGTATTAATTCAAAGTCGTTGTTAATAACATCGTCAATATTTATAGTATTGATTAAATCAGGACATATAGTAATCATAATGAGTTTCTCTTAGTTTACCTCAAAAGGTTGGGTATATATATATACCTAATCGATAGTAACCTATTTAAGATTTCAGATCCCAATAGCAGCTTAACTATAAGTACTTCCTCGTGTTTTTTTTTTTTTGAATTTGTTTAATATAAGAAATTGTAATTCTTTATTAGAAAAAAAAAATTAAAACATGAAAACAAATCAAAATTTGTACAGTTAAAAAATTTTTTCCTAAGCTGAGAATTGACACTAATATTTTTTAATAGCCTATGATTATTGATTATGATTTATGAATATAGCCCCATATAACGAATTGTAAATTTTAATTTTAGAAAAACAACATTGTTTATGTTTTTTTATTTGGCCAATAGTTGTAATAATTAATATAAACATATTTAATAATTAAAACTAACAAACTATCCTTCACTTTATAAAAAAAAAAATGTATTTGCCCGATTTGCTTACAATTTCACAATCGCTGACAGATTTATTTATTTCTCGTACAGTAGTCAGTACGTGTCTCACGTGAGACAACCAAATTCCATATTTTTCCATACAAAACACAAAATATTATATTAAATATTAATTTAATAATGCTATCACCATTTATTTATCTATCACATACAGAGTACAATAATAACATTTTGTTAGTTTCTATTGCTATACAGTAAATCCTATCAGCAGTTCTCTATCCTTACAATGTGTATGACTACTGGAAAATACATATGTAATACTGCAATCTAAGAAAGAATTTGTTTCCGCTTAAGTGACTTCTGTCCGGATCCGTTTTTTTTCTGAGAAAGACCATGGTTATTTTCTAACATGCATAGTGCCTTAACTGGTTTGTGTTTCTAGTCACTGCCTACGGAATCCACAAACTTTCCTGTCAGTAACTGTTGAAACTATGCTCGGCCTAATTACTAAAAAAGTGCCTTTTTCTCTATTCCATATGATTTATCAATTCACCGAACCTTAAAGATGTCAGATGTGTGTATGTTTTTCTTTTGGGCATTGATTTTTTAAGTTTTATTTCAATTTACTCAAACAATTTTTAAAAACAAGTGAAAAATTGTACACCTACACCGATTTTTATAAAAAAAGTTCGTCGTTACGGAGTTTAGAAAACGAAAATAATCTAAAATAGTCGACCGAAAATGATAGAATAAAAAAAAGAAATTAGGTAATAGTTAATAATTAAACTAAATTAATAATAATAACTTAATGAGTGTTATGTCCAATTTAGGCAGTAAGAAATTGATAAGTTGTAATTTAGCATAATAATATGATTTATAAACCTTGATTTGCAGAACCCAATTAAAAAGAAAAAAATATTTACCAAGTTTTTTATTGTGTAAATACAGATAACATGACCACTGTTCTTTATTTACTGAAATACTATCAACTTACTTTGTTGTAAAAACATCGTTTTGTGGTGCTGTTCATTAGAAAAATTGTCTAAAATGTTTTACAAATAGGGTTTTCATATTTTATTTTATGAATTCAGACCGGATCTCAGAATTAATGTGTTTTTTTCTCTAACGCGTATTAGGAATTATGTTTTGTAAGTCGTTCACAACTTAAGAGGAAATTTAAAAATAGTCGTGTTTGAGGAAATCTGAGGCCAGATTCGAATTAAACTACATAATTAATAATTTTTGGTGTATATTTTAATAAATAAAATGTGAAATTGTTTCGTTCAATATAACAATCGAGTATAATATATTTATATCTATATAAAAAAATAATACTCCAAATACTTTAATAATAAAATGTGACCTTTTTTTGTAAAAATCAAAATATTTACATTTTATGTGTTTTTTTTCTTGCTGAACCCAAATGTAGCATTAAAAAAATAAATATGTAGACGTTATAGAGAGAATCTAATGCTACACGGGTTTAATAATAAAAATGTATTTTAAAGGTTGAGTAGTACATCATTATTATCAAGTTCTAATAGGACAGCTCCTTACAAAATAAAACATTTAAAATTATTATTATACTTGAGAGAGCCGAGGAGATTTTATAGCATACATGAAAAAAGAGAATCCTCAAGTCAATATTAAATTGTTATTTATTTTATCAACAACTTTTTTGAACAAGGTAGTTAAAAATCTAGTGACGTCGACTAGAGGTCATTGTAATTTGTACTACAAAATTAGCCAGACATCTAAACTCTATAGGAGACTGCCATTTCTTGAAATACTAATTTTTTTATGAAACGGGAGTTATGAATTTAGACCTAGCTAACAAAAATATATTCCAACATTGTGTACAACATTTTTAGAAACTCTAGAACCCAAATATAATAATTATAAAATGTCAATTTTTGGATACTTTTTAAGTACTTTAAGGTCAAAAATAATTTTTTTTTGTAGAAAGATGATAACGGTAACAACACTTAGCCGCATAATTATTATCGAATATAAATATTTAATGAGTATAAATTTGATAAATCACTTATCATAATAGAGACATTTTAGTAATGAATTATTAGGCGCAATATTTACAATAAAAAATATTTATTATTATTTATTACACTACTAATGTTGTATTAAATTGTAATTAATATATGGTCTTATAGTTAACACAGTTCATACTATTTTATATTTAAAAAATAACTGTAAATGATAATATCTATAATTTGTTACTTGTTAGTGAAATAACTCAAATTATATTCGCAGAAAAATAATCCCATTTGTTTTTTAACGAGAATATTAATTTGTATTATTGTAAAGGTATAATACACCTTTTTTTCTCAGTATATAATTTCAATTATTACTTGTTATTGCAACTATCACAATATACTTGGGTAATGAAAACAGTGAAAATAACACGTGGAAACGCCACAGTACTTTACAACACTTATTTTACATTTTAAAATGTTTGGTTTGTACGTTGTAGTTTTAATTAGGGCTATAATTTAATATTTAATTATGTTTTAAAGAATGATTTTTCAATACTATTTCACTGGAGATAAAATTCGATTGTTAAAAACTATTAATTAATATTTATTTTCCAAACTGAATTCTTACCATTTATACATACCACTCAAGATATTTTTATGAATTTTCAGTTTATTTCCTTTAAATGACTTAATTACTTAAGTTGTAATATGTCCGTATATTTGAAATAATAATGTAAAGAAAAATTATTTCAACCTATTTAATTGGTATCTTAAATAAAGTTTTTATGACAAAGATAAGTAGTTAAGTTAGTGCTAAGTAATTATAATTATTTAGATCATACTTTGTATTTTAAACATTATGAATTATAAAAACAAAAACTGAAAAAGAACATTTTAGTTTTTAAAAAACTGGAAATTGATTAGCTTTAGAGGAGTCTAAAAAATATGTTTACAAAATAAATATTCATATATTATGTATATTATGTACACTATCCTGTATAATAAAGACAAACGCACTGTTCAAATATATAAAATAAAAACATACTAATAATTAAGATTAAAATCAATAATTATATCTATCTCACTACCTAAAATCACGTTGCTTAATTATTTAATAGGTTTTGGAATAGAACGAAATAGAATTATAATTTCAAATAATTATTGGAAAATGATAAATAAATTTTATAATTTAGATTAAGGGATATTCATAACTTATGAGTAAAATTTCATTAACATACTGTTGTATTATTCTTATTAAAAAATTATACTTCTATATTAAGTAAATTAGAAACTGATGTTCATTTTACATTTACAGGTCAAAAAATAAATGTAAAATTAGCACTTTTTAACCCCAATTACACATTGTACATGTTATTAACCAACAATACTACTAACGTCTGACTTTTAGTATGGTTTTTTTTATTTAATTTTAAGTTATGGGAAGTATTAAAAATGAATACATAAAACATAATATTATTATTATATTTTATATAATTATTAATTATTTTATGTTGCATATGTTTTTTTCGGTCACACCTTCGAAAAGGACTCATATATATTTAATGTATACATGTATACTTAGTATTACATAAATAAATGTTTAATTTTAATTTAAACCATTCACTGAACAAATTTTTTATTTTTATACTGTGTATTTTTGATATTTACTTGTATGGTTGATTATTATTATTTTATTTAAAATAACATGTTTACTTTAGTACACTTTGTATTTCAGTGCTCTTATGAATTTATAATTATTTTACTGAAGTTTTGGTTTAATGTATCTAGGTATGGCTGATTTTTTTTCATGTCGCACACATACATTTAACTTATTTATACTACAGATAATATTTTATATTTTAACTGTATTCTGAGTAAAATGTAAATAATAGATGTTGACTCGCTAACCGGTACATTACAGCAAAATGATTATTATATATACATATAAATATTCGATAGCAATTTTCAAAACCCATAAACGGTCACATATTATAATATATATATTATGACGAAGGCGATGTTGTTGTACGGCGGCGGGTACACCGTTCGATCAAGTCAGATCAAGTAGTCGGATGGCAAGGGGAAGAGGAGAGGCGACGGCGCGGCATCGGCTGCGGGCCGTTCGTTTTGGAAGGTTTGGGCCCGTTTGCCGAACATCGTCGTCAGCCCGTAACCAAGCGGCCCCTCCGCCGAACATCCCAACGTCAGCACCGACCGGCCGGCCGGCTTACTTGCAGCTGCTACAAGCCACGCCCGGGTCGGCCTCGTGTTCTGTTCCTAACTCTGCAACGGTGTTTGAGCGGCCGCAGCAAGTCCAACCTGTGATCCTTTGACGGGTCCAATAACAATTTATCGTGTTTCACCGACGCCGAGGACGACAAAAAGCCTTGTAGAGATCGTTTAAAAGACTTTCCACCGTTTTATAATCGGGTTGAATAACGGTCGGCTGCGTTTATTTCGTTTTTGCCGCATATCGGATTCCGTCACAGAACACGAGTCTGGCAGGCGGTCGTCGAGCGGCGGCTCGCGAGCTGTGCGCACAAGTCGTAAATACGGGGTTTGCGCACGTCACCACGGCCGCCGACCCGGACGCGGCTCCGCCATTTGCTTTGTTTCGTACTTGATGTGAAGCCGGACGGTTGTGCTCGCTCTTCATTCATCAACCCCCCGCCGCTAATACACTCGCATTATATTTTTACATGTACATTACAAAATTCACAGTCACTAATCAACAACTCAAGTATTTTACGTCTGTTTATAACGATTTGTTTTTTTATTATAACGTTTGTGCAACGTTAGTTTTCATGTCTTGACTGTAAATTATAAATCAGTATTAAATCTTAACGCTTTTGATTCTTTTTTTTTTTTTTTAAACAAAAAAATCTTTGTAAATGATTAAATTATAAGGTGAGATACACGTTCATTTCTTATTTTTTTATTTTCTTTTCATCGCGATCGATGTATAATTGACTTGTTAATTTTCCAGGACTGTGATAAAAACATGGCGGGAGACAACCAACATTTCTGTCTGCGCTGGAACAACCACCAAAGCACATTGATCAGCGTGTTCGACACCTTATTGGAGAGCGGCACCCTGGTCGATTGCACGTTAGCAGCTGAAGGACAATACTTAAAAGCCCATAAGGTCGTCTTGTCGGCGTGTAGCCCATACCTAGAGGTGATTATATTAAATAAATCTAATAAGTAAACATTATGCCGTTACCGTGTTAACGCTGCCTTGATACCTCGTATATATACTTTTTTCTGTTTATTTGATCCATATATATTTAACGAGTACTTTAACGCGACTTCTTAATTGACCAATTTTATGTTAACTACACTACTGATAATTGTTATAGTAGTTTATTTAATTAACATTTTTTTGGCTTAAATAAGTAGTACAATGAGGCGTGAATAATTTAATTAAATTGCTGTTGGGACTAACTGATAAGGGAGCATAGGTTGAGATTGTTATTGTAACTTGAAATTTGTTATTTGTCATTATTTGGACCCTAATGTACAGATTTTAATATGTGAATGAACAATAAAAATGTATTCGGTACTCTGTATGAAAGTTTCTTGTTGCTGTATGATTTCTGAAGATATCGTTGTTAAGTGTACTTTGTTATTAAGTAGTCTTAATCTTTATAATAACTGGAGGGATTAAGTATCTTTGCTACTATAAATAAACGATTCACCTTATACATTGGCAATTGTTACAGTTTAAAGTAGCTTATTATAAGTGGTTACCCTTATCAATGAAAAAGTGTTCCGCATTGACAGTATTTTTTATTGTATCTCAAATATGCATCTCTTTTTGAATCTCTCCTCGTCTTCGGTAACAAACTTACTCTGTAGCTGCTTTATGTAAACAAAAATATTATTTGTTATCAATATTCATTAAGGATAAGAATTGGTTTCTAATCATATTCCATGGGTTTTACATGTATAATTGTTACTCTAAAAGTGAACTTTTTTGAATTTCACTTTTTTAACAGTAGAATATAATGTAAGTTCCAAAGGACACTTAGCACATGCATGATGGAATATCTCATAATTTTATATTGCAATAAAATTGATAACCTATTTTATTTTCTCTGCACAATCTCATGGTCCAAGGGAACTGTCTACAGTTTTCCTATTTTAAGAATATATCAAAATATTAAGACATTATGTTTATTAAAATAAGTTAAGGCTAGGATAAATTATCTAATGGAACGCGCTCTTTCTAATCTTTATTATTAATATCCTCGCAGTAAAATTTATTTATTAGATAAAAGCAAGTTCAGGGACAGTGGTAGAGCTATGTATTGAATACTTATAGTTTATTGCTTCCATAGTAGTAATGTTGTGAAGTTAAACAAACATTTGAAAAAATAATTTTGAGTACTTTCATTTTAAATAATCTAAGACTGGTTTTTTTTATCTTGAGGCTTAATTTTAGTATTCTTACTTCATTTTCATCAACTTTTTTTTTCTTAATTGTGTAATTAACAAGAGATAGTATTTTTGAGAATTTTTTTTACTTTTTTCAAGTAATTCAATTTTTATTTGTTGATTTTTAGCAAAAGTTGTTGTAACAATACATTTTTTATGAATTGGTTATTGAGAAATTTGTTGTGATTGTGTGAACAGACAGCTGATTGTTCTAACTTACTTTGTTATTTTCATGCGTGTGCTGCAATCAACATAACATTGTTGATGAATTTATTTTCCATCTTTGAATGTAATGTGGTAATTTCTAAATTTTGAAGTCTTCCCTGCAACCGAACTTATCTTACTCCATATTGTTCACTAATATAATTTATATCTGGTTAATTTTATTTTTAACTCTCTAAGTTCCGCATTTGACGTACGATAGGATACACAAATATTGTGTACATCATTTTAAATAGGCTTGTTCTTTATATAAAATTAAATAATATCAATTAGCATCTTCAATTAATGCATTTTTAATGTATATCATTTTATTTTAATTTCAGTTACTGCTTAGTCAGCATTATGAAAAACACCCGATCGTCATACTCAAGGATGTAAAATTCCAAGAACTCAAAAGTATGATGGATTACATGTACAGGGGGGAAGTTAACATTTCCCAGGACCAACTAAGTACGTTCCTGAAAGCTGCAGAATCTCTGCAGATCAAGGGTCTGACTGATGGTGGTGGTAACGAAGACGGCGGCACCCCTTCATCGGCTCCTGCCAAGGCTCCTATTACCAACCCAGTTAGAAAACCAGTCCAACAGTCCGTCACACGCGGTCCAACCGCATCAGCACAGGGTTTAACGATAGAAAGGAGGCCAGAAAGTCCACACATCAGGTCACGTGACGACAGTGCCTCGCCGACGCCAAGAAAACGTAGGCGTAACCAGCGTAGGCCGTCCACTAGTGATGATCCCGACAGTCATGTTGATACAAGCAACTCCTGTGATGTACCGCCCCTTCAGTCCGGAGCCCTGAGCGGCGTCGGTGTTCCTAACATTCCCGCCACCATCACCAAAGGTGCGCCGTTAGATGACGGTGATCATGAGACTGATAACAGCCGCGTCAACAACCACGACACATCAGCTGCTGAAGGTGTAGCGGGACCAAAGATCGAACCGACTAGTGAACTGATTGAACCTAAGACTGAGTACATGGAAGAGATGAACAACGAGGATAGTATAGAAGACTTGACTCTGGACGATGATGATGATATGGAAAACAGTATGGACATGTCAAGAGCTGGCCCATCACATGACAACTCAAACCAAAGTATGTGTTTTTTTTTTCCAACATTTTTCAACATTTTCTTAGGATTGTGTGTGTTAATTGCTTTGTTGATTTTAGGTTTTGGTCAATGGCCAATGTCGGGAAACCAAACTACGGATGAAGTGTTCATGAATGCACAGGAAGCGGTTGGAGCTCACAGGGATACTCAAGGTAAGATTTCATTTTAAGTTCTTAGGCTTTTGAGCGTTATACCATTCATCCGATTGGTTAGCGTTTGAGAGTCGTTGGTGAAATTTGGTTGAACATTTTTATTTTCTTGATGTTACCCCTAACTGATCACAGCGCTGATCTAATTTCCACCACGTGTAACTTAATTTAATTTGTTTATTTATATTCAGCCAAATTTTTCTTATCTTATGATAGATTAGCTATGGCAGAACCTTAGGTAAGGATCACATGTGGCATTTTTATTGAAATCTTAAGTATTGTTGAAGTCACATTTGAGCCCAGCCTTGGTTCGGTTTGAGCTTAGAATGGTTCTTTTTTTTTTTTTTGGGCACTTTTTGGCTGTTGTTTAGTAACCTGCGGTGTAGGATATCATTTGCTAACCACTTCTAATTTTTTTTTTTTTGTATGTATAAACCTTTTATTTTTGCAATCACTATTCCTCATTGTCTTGTTCTCTTAAAAGCTAACGAGAAGGTAACTCTTCTCATTAAGTAGGCTATCTGCAATCCAATGGATTAACTTGTGGTGAGTTAACATCATTTTTTTTAACCCTTTCACAAAGATCTCTGTTTGATCTTTCTTTGTCATATTCTATCTATATTTTAGTCATATCCATCAAAAGTTGTAACTAGAGCAAAAGGAGGCTCGTAAGTTCTACTTTTGCGGTGGATTGGCAAAATTATCCAAAATCTTATTCATCCATTATCCAATTATTATTTGAAGTTAATGTAATCTAATAAATTGTAAATAACTATTAAATTTTAATAAAAATGTTAACTACAATGTAATATAAAATTACTATGGTTTTTCTCTTTGGACCCATGAACTTCTTTTTGTGCTTGTGTTGTCATGGTTCTATGGGTCCTGAGGAAAATCATTTCTTAACTTAATTTCCTACAGGGATCTTTGCTTCACCCTTATCTTATCATAAATCATTACTATTGTTTTTTAAAAAAACTTGAGGGAATTGGGAAAACAAGTTGTATGTAAAGAAGGTTGTAGTGGAGGCGGGGGTGCGGTTAAGTTTGAATGATAAAATACGTTATCATGTTACTGTTATCTTTTTCCTTTTAAGTGTTCATGTTAATTATTCATATTTTAACAAAAGTATTAATGTAAAATTCATTAGTAATATATTAAATAAAAACCATCGTCAAGCCAGTCTCAACAACTAGTGGATCATCTGTGGGTGGTATTATGGCAGTTTGAGGTAAGTATAAGGTAATCGGTAAATAGGGCTTCTCCATACCTTTCATGTTCATATTCCTAATTATCCTTTTTTTCTCTTAACATCCTGCTTTATTATTAAGTTAAAAATAAAATATATTTTAATATACAAATTTATTATTGATTTCATTATAAGCTCTATTTAGAGCCTAAATTGTTTAATATTTTTATTTTTAGCATTAAGTAGGTAACTTCACCAGTCCATTAGTAGAACGTGGTCCATATTTTAAGTACTACTGTGCTAACATGTATTCAGGTAAACGCCCCTCTACATTGATGTTTGGTAAAAAAAAAAAGTCTTGTGACTGACGTGTTCAATTTATTTTCTTGCCCTTTCGTCGTCTCATATATATAACATCTTATATGTAACATACTTGCTCGGCAGTGTAGCGATTTAGATTTGGTTTAGAGATATTAGTATGGAGCGATAATGTGAAGAGGTTTATGAGTGGTGTGTGTGATTTATCTACTAAATTTCTTCAACTTCAAGATCGATGGTCATCAAAGGTAAGTGGCTGTTGTTTTTATCCACATTGAATTGTTTTTTAGCCTGTCTTTTGGAGAGCAACTATTTGGTTAACACGTTGACTGCCACGGTACTTTTCAGGTTTTCGATTAAATAGCCAACATTAATCTTTAAAAAACTTTTAATAAATACATTGTAAACATAAAAAAGCATGTAGAGAATGTGATTGCCAAAAACAACACTAACTACGAGTTGTCTCGTAGTTGGCAATCAACGTGTTGTACAGTTTCTTAAAAACTTGCATGTGAAATAAATTAAAATTATTTTTGTTAATGACTTAAAGTAAAATTATATTCACTTGGTTAATTTGTATACAAAAATGTTCCCAGGCTACAGGATGTAAAAAACAATTCAAATTTTCGTCTTATTAGTTTTTTTTCTTGGGTAATCATTCCTAAAAGAGGTTTTACCATGTTTTTTTTTTTTTTAATTTGATGTTTAGCTTCTGGGGATTTTCTTTAGGTTATGTCAATTAGTACTCTACTTTTAACTTGTCCTAGAGTAAAAATTGTAGTAAATGTTCAATTTCAAGATAGTATCTGTTATAATATGGGGTTAATAATTAATGTTAATTTTGTTAGTATTTTAGTTGGCGGTTTATTTTAAAGTTGGGGTCATGCCAGTATTTGTAAAAATAATCTACAATTTGAATATTGAGCTCCAAATTTGATTTTTAATGTAGGACTTTGAGATGTCTATACCCCCTATTCGGTAAGGAGTTTAAGTATAGGCTTTTTTTTTTTTTTGTAAAATCGTAATTTTAAGGCTAGCTGTAATGTTAAAATACGGCTGTAAAATTACTATTTAAGTAATTGGGACTTTTTTTGGTAGTATTTATTTTTCGAAATGTTAAGTTTCCTTGACAGCAATTTCTCTTTTCAACCAAATAAAAATGTAGACGATTTTTTTTACATATTTTAAATAATAACTATTCTAGGTTCTCTCTTCGGCTTTTATTTTTTGATATTAACTTGACGTTGTCAATTTGTATTCTTAATTCTGACATTTTTTAAACTTAAGTGCTCGTATATAAAGTAAAATTAAAGTATTCCTTAAAAACCGTTGAGAGAACCTAGTAAGTTCATTTTATAACTACCGACATTTTATTCTATGACCAAGTCGCCTAACCGTAAACCTTAATTTTATGATTATTTTTAACGTGTAACGTCCTCTTAAAGAGTGCTAACCATTTCTGGTAAGAAATGCTGAGGCTGGCTGGTCCAGTTTCAATTGTGTACAATTTTTTAGTTTACATTTAGTTCTGTATGAAACTGATTTTTCGGTTAAATTGGGTGTCTGTTTTAGATAAATTTATGAACTACGGAAATAATCGCAATATTTTGTGTTTTACCAAGCGAAAATAATCTATTTTGTGGCTAAAAAATTTTGCAGAATTGAAATTGGTGTATTATATTTTTGGTATATTATGAATATATTATCTGAAACAAATTTTGTAGTTATCTAAAATATCTAAAATTTTATTTAAAGAGGACCGCCACGCTGGCGAGTATAGCTGTAAAGAATGTGTTGTTAAGAAACGTGTTTAAATGCCTCTCTCCGAGTGATTTTAAAAGTAGCTTTTCAAAATAAAGAACTAAAAAAAAATCGTTACCCAATTTTATTGTACGTAACCTAAAAGTGATATGTCGTACCCAAAATTCTGTTATATTTCGATTTTATAATGTTGCATTCAATCACTGGACCTAGCAAGACACATTCTATGTTGCTATGTTAAATTAATTTTTTTAAAGATTCCGTGAACAAGTAATTACACGTTACAAATAAGTTTTAAAATTAAATTTTTTTGACCAAAATCGGCTGTACTCAAAAATTCTGTTAAATGCCCGGAGTGGATTTCTCTTGTGTAGATTTTAATAATCGGTTGTGGATAGGCGTTTTCTAGATATTCTATATAATACTGGTCCGTTTTATGCTGTAGGTAAATTGTATTCTCAATGATAACGCTCCTTTGACTACGATTCTTCTATTTTTAGTGAATAGGCTTGTAATTATGACAACTTTTATAAATCTATATTGTAATATGTAGCGTTATCTAATAGTATATATCCTTAACTATACGCGAAGGTGTAGTACAAATGGATTCTACTCTAATATTTTTTCCCATCAGAAAGTAGACTATATATTAAATGGTAAATGTTCAAAAGGGGTAAATGCACCAGTGCGTGTTGTTAAGGCACAACCAAACCCGGCCATTACATAAGTTCCCATAAAAATATTTTTATTTCATGAATGCCTGTAGAATATATGGATAATGAAATGATGAAATCTAAACTTGAAACTGGTAAATACTCTTATGTAATAGTTAATCATTAGTGTTTTGTGAACTGCTGCACACACGTCATTAGTCCTAATTAATATGAATATTAAATTATACTTTACTCTAAAAAAATATTGTAATATTATACAAGTAAAAGTATATAATATTGTACTGCTGGCTAGAATTAAAATTAAAACTGCATAGTGCTATATTTCACATCTATAATATAGGGTGATATCGTATATTAATTAATCTTTCGGATAATTCGTCACATAAATAATAATGAATGGTGTGCCCCTAAATGAGAATAAAGTGATAACAATAAGTGGGCACTAGAAAGTAGTCTCATTCTAACCGAAAGGGATTTTTATATCGCAAAAGGAACTGTCTTTTCTCATTCCCCGTTTAACGTAACTACTTATTTTGATAATATAAAATGATCTATGCATTTTATTATCTATGGTTCGATACAGACATCTGGTTTTCTGACTGTTACCCGCAGTATACATCATATTGCGCGATTGAAGCCGTCCCGAATTTTAATTTCTATTTGTGTGCAATAAGCTGGTAGGTAAAGGAAAATGAGAGGGTAGTCTGATATCGCATCTGAAAAAGGAACCTGTTAAATATAAACATGATGTATTCATATTTACAATTAGTTTTATTTTAGTATTAGTACTATTAATAATAATTACTGTTACAAGTGCGGGTTAATATGTGTATGTGCCTTTCCATTTAGTTTCCCATTTGGGTTAAATGAAAAAGGAAAAAAACGCCGTAAATTCATAATAGCAGGTAGGATCTCCCCAAGTTAAAATTCGGAAAATTTTCTATTTTTGTGGGCTTTGGGTACAGTAGCCTAAGTAATAAACTCTAATATTCATACTAATAAACATGCTAGTTGGGATACTTAATATAAATAATATTATTGATATAATAATATTATACATA